TGTTGATCAGCCCCACCAGGTCCTGGGCCAGGGCCACCTGCCCCCCCGCCCCGGGTCACAGGTCAGCAGGGTCCTCGCCTGTCTCTGCGGGGGGCTCGGGAACCCTCTGTCCTCCCCACGGTGCCCACCCCTCCCTGCAGGGCACATGGGGACCTCTGCCCCCCCACGGGACCCACCTCCTCCCTGCAGGGTGCACGGGGACCCTCTGCCCCCCCCACGGGGCCCATCCCCTCCCTGCGGGGAGCACGGGGACCCTCTGCCCCCCCTCCCCCTCTTTGTGGCATGAACCCTCCCTCCCCCCCCGGCGCTCACCGCCCGCTGCAGGGCCCCGTGGTCGGGGTGCTCGGGGGGCGTCTGGCGCAGCACCTCCCGCAGCAGCAGCGGGTACTTGACCAGGCGGCTGCGGGGCAGGTCCAGGAAGCTCCACAGCTCCAGCTTGCGGCTGAAGGCCGACTCCTGGCAGAGGCGCAGGAATTCCCCCACGGCCGGCTCCCGCTTCCGGCTGTCCAGCCGCGCCTTGGCCCACACCTGGTGGCAGCAGTAGGGTTCGTAGGCCTGCAACCTGGGCAACTGCAGGGGGGGACGACGACACAGGGAGCCAGTCACAGCCTGCGCTCTGGGGGTTCCCCGTTCCTGGCACCCACACGCACCAGGCCAGGGGTCCCCATCCCCCACTCCCAGGCGGAGCTGGGGTGTCCTGTTACACCTCCCCCCACAACAGACAGAGCCCCACTGCCCAGCCAGGGGGAAACCCCTCGCCCCACCCTCTTCTCCCGCCCTGGGGGGGTCCTGCCCTCCTCAGATCTCCCCATTCCTGGTCCCCAACCCCTCCCCCATTCCCTCCTGCCCATCTCCCACCCAATGCCCCCCCAAGCATTCCCCACTTCCTTCCTCCCAGCCCCCTTGTCCTTCCCCTCAGCCCCCCATGCCCATCCCCCTCCCCATAGCTCCTCCCACAACCCCCTGCTCCCCCCTCCTAACATCCCCAGCCCCATAGATGTCAGCCTCCCCCCATTGACCCCAGCCTCCCCCCCCTCGGCCCTTACCCAGTCCAGCAGGGTGGGTCCCAGCTCAGGCACCGTCCCGTCCTCCTGCCTCAGACCCATCAGCCGTCCCAGCAAGTCTGCAAAGGGGGGGGGGGTCAGTGCAGGGGTCCCCCCCGTCCCCCCCGGGCAGGGAGCTGCGCTTCCCGCTGGCCGAGATGCAGCAGTCGTAGGGGGAGCAGCCTCCTGCAGCGGGCGCCAGTGCGGGGGGGGGGGGGGAAATAGCAGCAAAGTGGGCTCCCACCCTCCCCCCATCCATGGGGCAGGGAGTCTCCCCCTAGGCTGTACCTTCATGCAGCGGGGCCAGGGAATCCAGGGTCCCGAAGATCTCGCGCAGCTCGGCCTTCGGCAGGATGGCCAGCGTCAGCATCGGCTCGTAGTAGTTCTGCAAGGGGCAGGGGTGAGAGCGCCCCACACAGCCCCCCCAGTCCCCCTGCAGCACAGCACCCCCAAATCCCCCCATAGCCCCCCCAAATCCCCCCACAGCACAGCGCCCCCCACAGCCCCCAAA